GAAGAGCTATGTCTCTGTAACCTGGAGACAGATGGAAGAGACAAGCACTTTCCAGGGAAACAAAAGAGAAAAAGAAGTTTTTTTCAGTATTGGGAAAAGGTCCAAGTTCAGAAGGTCCAGTGAGACCTGGAATCTGGAAAGACCAGGGAATGTCCAGGCAATGCACCCAGAGATAATGGAAGCTAATCCCCCAGGTTCAAAATTCTTGAATACCAAACATGGACTGGAAGCACAGGATGGCAGAATTTGACATGGTCCAGATGGACATTGGGTATCTCTGTACCATCCAGTGAGAGGCAATGATCAGTGAGACCAGAGGGAACTTCACCCATGCTTTCGCATCTCTTGAGATTCTGAACCTTTGTACAATGTTTGGGACAGGAAAGCACTAATAAATGTTTAGATTTAATTTCTGCTAACCCAAAGGTATGAAGAGAACTTACATGTGGGTTTCAGTGGATTTAAGGGAAACAAAGATGTGCAATAGTTTTTACAGATTTGGATTTATGGTAACTAAATCACATAGACTACTCCATTAAAAATCAACCATGCCAATAAAAGTGGCTATAAAAACAACCTGCTGCCATGCTGCAATTACCATCCTTCACATTTGCACAGCCTTGTGCATTTGGTAAGGTGTTTCCACATATGTTATCTTATTTGAAACTCACAGAAAAAGAGGATTCAGTGGCTCTCAAGCTGCTGAGATTAGACAAGCAGGATTGAAATGGCTTAATGGAAGAGGGACATCTGGTCACTAGGCATGTCCTCTCCCTCTCTCTATGCCCCCACCCCCATTCTCTCCCTCCCCTTTTGTTAGAAAGAAGAGGAAATTTTTATTCAACAATTAATTTTAAAACATCTGTGCAAAGTTGTCATTTGTAAGATGGATCTCACAGAACCTACTGCTTAGAATGAGTTCACTTCTTAAGGGGTTCAATTTAGGTTGTCACCCAATTGTGGTAGAAAGCCATACCACTCCTCACTAAACACGAAACACAAGAATCAAACATTTATGGACGTATCTGAAGAGGAAAAGAGTCTTAATACTTTGCAATGTTTTCTTATAAAAAAAAAAAACATAGCTTTCTTAAAACCATCCAACAGAAAAGAAAAAACTTTTAAAATATTATTCTTTTAACAGAAACTTTTAAAACCAAGAGATTTAATGGAAGTTACCTTCAAGGAATGGTAGTTGAGGAATTGAAGCAGGTGAGATTTTCATTTTTCTACTTTGTACATTTTTATTGCACATTTTTTATCTTTTTATTGATTACAATGCAGTTCATTACTTCTGTAACATACTGTAATTTGAAAAACTACTCTTTTTAAATCAAAGGAACCTGATATGTAATCAAGAGTCTTTTTCCCCTTTATCACAAAACATCATTGCCAGCTAACAAAATAGCTACAAACATATAGCTGTCTTCTAATACTTTACAGGGCTTCAAAAAGAGTACTTTGATTTCTTTCTTTGAATTATTCACTTTTGTCATGAAAACCTTAGTTTGTCCATGCCCTATAAGCCAGGAATTCCCAGCTACAGTGTGAATCCCAGTGAGATAAAGTAGACACAGGCAAACTCAGGATGAGCATCAGAATTAGAATTTCTCTCTCAATTATGCCATCCAGTGAGTATGCAGGATTGAATGCTCTTGCCTTTGAATTTTCAAGCATGCTCTCAGCATACAGGTAGTAATCAAGGAGAGCAGTTTTTTGTTTCTATTTTAAAGTTAAACAAAAAAAATTCTCAAAAGTCAAAAGTAGTTTTATGTCTGTAAAACTTACTACAAATAATAAAATAATAAAACAACTACAAACGTAAGTGTCTTTATTTAAAAAAAAAAAAGGACATTGTTTTTGCAAAAGTGAGATTAAATTTCTTAGAGTGGTCAAGAGACGTGATGATAGGTGAAGGCCACCATCCTGGACTGGCTCAGGTCTCAGCAGCCTCCCTTTCAACTACTGAATTTACTTCTATAACCTCCTCTCTCCTTTTCTGGTAGTAATAACTCATCCTAGGTAAGACTGTTCTCCCTAGTCCTCTGATGTAAAACCTGTCTTTTGTTCCTTTTTATGAGAAAACACACATATTTCCCTTCTTCTTAGGGAAGATAAAAATCCATCTTAGATGTGGGTTGATAACTCCCATTGTAGTATGTTTCCCTAACCCCTCAGGCCCACAATCCTTTTCTTTCTGAGATCCTCCTTCATCTTTCCCAAATGTCTTCCAGGTTTAGACCTGATAACTTCATTTGCATGAATTGGAGATATTTTTTAATTTTTTCTCTTCATAATTCCCATAGCAACTGGCTTATTCAGAAACTTCCTCACAATGTCCAAAGATATCATCTCTCTTTTAAGTGAACAGAACATTCTGAATAGAATTAGTACAGGAAAGTAAGCTGGTTTCATTACCGCATCCTTAGACTTTTTTCTTTTATAAAATGAAACTTTAAAAAAAAAAAAAAAACTGTCAACTCAGCTGGATAGAATTTGTTGGGTACTCTGAGGCTTATAAGTAATTAAAGGATGTGTATAATTCTAAAAGATGCTGTCTCACCCATTTTTCAATAAGTATTAAGTATATTAATAACTACATTAGATACTTAATATACTTAACTACTAAACATATTTAAAAAAATCTTCCTGTGAAAGTATAAACGTAAGTATAAACTCAGCATTGCCTCCTGCATTTGCCATCATGTTAGATAACAATAAAAAGTGGGTGTCATGAACACCAAAACCATAAAACAACCCTGTCTTTGTTTTCAGTTGATGTAAGAGGAAGATGAAATTTGAATTGGGCCCTGAGAGGCAGGTAGGATTTGAAAAATTGAAAGAATTGAAAACATTACCCTAGGCATCTTTCTAGAAAGATGTATTTATGTGGAGGGTAACCTGGAATGTTTGGAAGAATGGTGAGAAGATCAGTTCAGCTAGAGGAGGTAAATTGAGACATATAAGATAGTGCTAAAAAGCAGGGAGATAAGGCTAAAAGGCAAGTGAAGTCCTGACCATCAGGTCTCGACCTGGGTTTGGATTTTATCTCACAAGTCTGTTTTCTGCAGACTTGTTGTCTATACTATGGGCAGCATCCAAACTCCTTTCCACATGACTAGTTAGAATAGGAAATTAGTCTAAAAGAAATTTGGAAGTGTAATCTAAAATTAACCTCTGAAATGGCTTGAGAATCAGAATATATTCCTGTTTCAGTCTTATTTTTCTTCCCTCCATTTCCCTACTCCACTTTCAGCCAGAGTAATTTTAAAAATGGCAGTTCTCTTGTGGAATTTTAAAATGGCATCACTCACCCATTCACAGCAATTCAACAGCTTCACAGAGACCTTCAGAAAAGTCCTCCCACCCCAATGCCTGGACTTTAGGTGCTGGCCCTGGCCCGACTCTGCAGACTTGTTGTCTACACTATGGGCAGCATCCAAACTCCTTTCCATATGACTGAAACCTCCTTCACTCCTACCTGTCCCTTTGCCCTCTTTTGTCAGGCAAACTCATAACTCATCTTGAGGTTTTCACTTAGATGTCACTTCCCCAAACAAGGCTCACAAAACTCCTCAAATCCAGATTAAGTTTCCTGCCACTCTTATTTCTCTTGACAGTTCTTAGGAACATATCCTTGGCTGTGACACATCCTCAGGGGATATGTCTGCAGCGCCTACCAAAGGGCCAGGAACAAAAGAGATGCCCAAAAATATCTGTTCCGATGAAAAAGGCAGAAAGCAGAAAGGAGTGTATAGAAGTCAGACAGACATAAAATAGGCACAAACTTGAGGATGATGAGGGGCACAGTAAAGAAAGAAAGGAAATGTTAACAAAACTGAATTCTGACTGAGTTAACACAATTCTCTCTATAAAATAATTAGAAGGTCCATCTAGATGAGCAATTACCAAGTCCTGGTTGATCATTAGAATCATCCAGGGAATCAGGAGTGTTCTTTCTTTTTGATGTGCTTTAATTTTCACTGGTCATTGGGGCATAACAACCAATTGATGTTTAGGAGTTACTTTCCCAAATATCCTGTGAGACCATTCCTAGCACCAGTGTCCTGATTTGACCAAGATACGTATGAACAAGAAATTCACAGATTCTGATAAATCACTTATTGTAAGAGCAGAAGGAACATATTAAACTACTTAGATTTCTAGACTAGTTAGCCTGAAGTCACAATTTGCAAGTGTCAGGCTTGCAAATGCTTTCTAAAGAATGAAATACAGAATCAGGAAGAGGAAGCACATTCTATGAAAAAAAGACAGATTTGACTTTGAATATGAGTTTCCTGACACTCAAATATTTAATTCTTTGTCCTCTGGAGCTGTCTCAACAGAACTCTCCTCCTTCCTACCCTTGGCATTGCTGCATGGCCTATCATAGCAACTATCCCTTCTTTGAGGATTGGCACCCAATCTCTCTTAAAAATTATCCTCCCTATCATGTCCAAATTTGCTGAGATTGCAATTCAGGTCTATCCTAAATTAAAACAAAAGGAGATTCTTTGATTTTAAAAAGTTTAGTCCAGTGTCCTAAGAGCAGAGAAATCAGTGTTTTTCATCCATTCTTACAGAAGTATTAGGTTCATTTCTGCTCCCTACATCCCAGGCTGTCCCAGCTTCCGTCTTTGTTCTCAAGGCTTCTCATCAATTCTATGAACTACCAGTATACTTCTAATAAATCCTTGTTTTGTTGAACAAGTCATTTTGGAATCTGGTACTTGCAAATATATAAATGAACAAAATCTAATAATATAGCAGCTTTGTCTCATTGCATAAGAGTTCCTTCCTCTGCTCACAGCAGACTCTTCTACTCTAGTTTCTGCACTGGGATGGCCCACATGGCCAATGCAGTTCTTAAATCAGTGCTGTCAAAAAAAAAAAAAAAAAAAAAAGAAAGAAAGAAAAGGAAAACAGAAGAAACGCAAGCCACACATATAATTTAAAATTTTCTAGCAGCCATTTTAAAAAGTGAACAGAAACAGATGAAATTAATTTTAACACTGTTTTATTTAAACCAAAATATCCAAACTATTATTTCAATATGTAATCACTATGAAAATACACTGAGAAATTTTACTTTTTTCAGCCTAAGTTTTTGAAATGTGGTAATGTTGTTTACACTCAGTATACATCTCAAGTCAGATGCTAAATTTTCAAAGGTTAAAGTGAAATGTAGTCCTTCCAAAACAATAAAGCTATGAATACAGAAAACCATTTTATATTTTAAACTTAAATTAGCTAAAAATATTCAGTTCCTCAGCTGACTAGCCACATTTCAAGTGCTATGTGGCTATATGTGACCAGGTCTATTCTATTGTGTAGCTACATGGAACCCTCTCTTGACTGGAATTGGAGGCTCTCACACTTCCAACAAATTCCACTATGGAATGACTTAGAACTGTGAGGAGACCTATCCAAAATATTTCTTACTCCAAAACAATGTTTCCTTTGCTGTGTACCTACAACAGGCTAACACATTATTGAGTGTGACAACTATCCTCTGTGTTCTATAATTCAGTAGCATGGGGAGATCAAGGAGTTATCTTCCCTGTCAGGGAGTTTAATTCAAGGTTAAAATTACACTATTACTCTTAAATCACTTTTCGTTTATTACATTTTAAAAGGTAGAAAGAGACTTTGGGGATTCACTTTCAGTATTTTCATAGTGAAATAAAAATATAGAATTCTGAGTGGCAAGTTGAAGAATTTGACCTTTATCTAACTGACAACAGCAGATGTTGTAAATTTTGGAGTCAAGGAGTGACATGATAACATCAGTGTCTCAGGAAAACAAATCAAAATCCAGTATTCAAATAGACTGACAACAGCAAAAGTGCGCAGGGAAGGCGTGGTGCATCCTTAGCTGGCTGTACATGTGCTCTTGTATATGCCAGGAATGCTGTTTTCCTCTTCTTAAGCCAGCAAAACACGTGCTCATCCTTCAAAATCTGGCTCACAGTCACCTCCTGGTTTCCTGGATACAGATGACAAACTGAGCTCCTTCTTCCACCTGTGCTCCCACAGCACTTCCTTCAAAATCCTATCAGGAGCCAAATTAAGATGGCAAAACAGTGGTTGAAAGAGGTTGAAGGGTTACTCTATAATAGGTACAGAGTTTCAGTTTTACAAGATGTAGAGTTCAGTGAATGGATGGTATCATCACAGCACATGAATGGGAACAACTAGATTATTCCAGCCAGCTAACTCCTCTTCTTTCCAATCTCAGCTTAAAGTTCACACCATTTAGGAGACTTCTTTTCCAGGCCAAAATGGTTTAGGTACCTTTGTCATACCATCTCATGAACTTCATGCTTTTCTCCTAACTGTAATCTATAGCTAATTATGTGGTGTATTAGTTTACTAGGATCACCATAACAAAATTCTACAGACTGGGTGCCTTTTATCGATTTTCTCACAGTTAAGACCAAGGTGTTGATAGGTCTGGCTTCTCCTAATCTCTCTCCTTGGCTTGAAGAAGGCCTTTCCTTTATTCACACATTCCTCTGGCATCTGGGTGTTTAAATTTTCTCTTCTTATAAGGACACTGGGGCCGGGGATGTAGCTCATTGGTAGGGCACTTGCCTAGCATGCATAAGGCCCTGGGTTTGAACCTATCAAAGATACCAGTCAATTGGGTTAGGATCCACCATTCGCACCTCATTTAAACTTAATCACTTTTTTAAAGGCCATTATCTCCAAATACAGTCACATTCTGAGGTACTGGGGGCTAGGACTTCACTGTATGAATTTTGGGAGGCCACTCTTCAGCCTACATGATGTTAACCTCTATGGTACTCAACTGGCAAACTCCATGAAAAGAGGGGCTTTATCTAATTCTCATTTCACAGCCTTTACAGTCACCACACCCTCTAGCATACCTAGAGTACACTACCTTCAAGTCTTCATAAAGCAGCAACATCAGCACTAATATCTGACAAGGGCCATTCTGGACCATGTTATCTAAAGTAACCCTAAAAGTCTCTCCTGGGTCATTATTTTCTTTCCACCATGGCACTCACCACTTACTGTCAGCTTCGGCAAAGGGCGGTCATGCCTTTTGACACACTGCTGTGTACTCCAGGGTCTCACTCATATTTATGCATAAATGAGTTTCTGTAACCACTTAGCACATTTTAATGCTTTTATTTACACCCCTGAGAAAATCTGCAGGGCTTTTAAAATCCCCAATGCTTTCTGGATCTCAGCTTTAACACTCATCTGGCAGGTTCCTTACCCTGTCGGGTCCTAACCCAGGACAGCAGTACCTTCCTCAGAGTTGGACAAGGTACGGAAGGCACCCAGCTCAAAAGAGTGGTGTAACGAGGCTGCTATCGGCTGAAATGCCGGTGTCCTCCCAAGCGTGGGACCCGAGTGGGACCCGCGGCTGCTGAGGAAGCCCTGGGGGGGACACAGGGCACTCAGTGGGCGCTAAGATCACCCTCCTCTCCTTGCTCTTCCTACCCCTTGGGGTGGAGCAACCTCGGGCTCTCAGCTCCGGGCGCCTGTCCCTGCCTAAGGCGTTTGGGGGAGGGATGATTTGGGGACAGCATTGGAGCCCAGGGCTGAAGGGCGTTCTGCAGCCAGCTGCCTAGGCTCACGCCGCCCTGCTCCCAGTGGCCAGCGGTGCAGTGACAACCGCCTCATGGGGCCATCGGGGACTCAAACGGAGCTACTGCACCGGGACGGCGGGGATTCGGGGGACTCGCCACAGCGGCCTAGCCAGCGGCTGGGTGGGGAGGCGCGGAGGGAGGAGTCCCCCGGGGCCCGGCCGAAATGGCCCTCCTCTTGGTGGGCGGCCCGCGCCGGCAAGCTGCAGTCTTCCCCACGCTCTTACCCGGCCTCTCAGCGAGCCGAACGCGCGCTGAGGAGGCGCGCGAACAGAAGGGACGCGCCCGGGCGCGAGACGCACAGGAGAGGCCCCGGGCTGGGCAGGGCGACGTGCACTGCGTGTGACGTCACCAGCCACGCCGCGGCACGCACGCGCAGAGGGCTGGTGGGCGAGGCTGGCGGCTGGAGCCAGCATGGCGGCCGAGCGCAAGACCAAGTTGTCCAAGAACCTGCTGCGCATGAAGGTGCGCGGGTCCTGGAAGGGTCTGGGGGACGACAGGGCCCCGACCTCTCGACCAGGCCCAGGACGAGGCGGCGGGCGTGCAGGGGACAGCAGGCGGGCCTCCGGCGGGCGGAGCTCATTCGTTCCCCGCGACCCGGCCGGTGCGGGCGCTTGCTAACGCGTGTGCGGGCTGCCAGGCTCCGGGCGGAGGGAGCGGGAGGGTCCCCGGCTCCGGGAAGGCGAGTTCAAAGGAGAGAAGGGAAACAAGAAGGTTTCCAAGAACCAAAGTGACCACTGTGTCTGGAAGGCAGGCCGTGGTCACGGCGTGCAGGGAGCTTCGGGCGGGATGGAGGGTTGGTTTGGGGTTTTGTTTCCCTTTAATTTATGAGCAGTAGAAGCTGTTGAGCACAGGGAGCAGTCTCTTGAGCTGTGTTGCTCTTCAGGATCACTTTAACTGCCCTGTGGAGAATATGTTGGTGGAAGAAAGGCCCCGACAAGGCACAAAATTGTGGCAGTGGAGTGGAAGTGAATTGTGACCCAACTTAAAACAAAATTGATTTTTTTTAAGATTTGAAATTCATTCATTTTAACCCTATACTTTCAAAGTGAAACAACAATCCAGATAAAGCATGGTAGGTAAAATAAACACAGGAATGAAGACAAAATTAAAACTTAGATAATACAGATAGCAAATATTGATAATCTTTACCATATGCCAGGCCCTGTTCTAAGTGCTTTCCATATAATATTATCATGTGATTCACATAGTTACCCTTTGAGGAGGCTATGGTCATTATGCCTCTTTACAGCTGAGGCAAATGAGAGGAAGTGATATGCCTGAAGTTACACGGCTAGTAAGGACTGGAACTCAGTTTTATCTGTCTCCAGAGTTCTGCCTGGCACTTGCTAGTGATAGTCCTTGACTTACAGTGAGATTATGCCCTGATATACTCATCATAAATCAACAGAGGATAAAAGTGCATGACACACCTAACCCATTGAACACCATAACTTAACCACATAGTACACTGTAGAGTTCCAGTTGTTTACCTTCCACTTGGTGTGGCTAAATGGGAACTGTAGCTCACTGCTGCTCTTTAGTATCACCAGAGAGCATCATACTGCATATGGATAGCCCAAGAAAATATCAAAATTTGAAGTACTATTTCTACTCAGTGTGTGTCACTTTGCCTCCATCATAAAGTCAAAAATTCGTTAAGTTGAACAGTTTTAAGATGGGGAACATCTGTACTTATACAGATTGTTAGATATCATATTTAGAGAGTGATGGAATTTCCAAGAAAAGAAAGTAAAGTGTAATTAAAGATTAAAGAGAAAATGTTACATGGGCAAGATTTGAATGGAGTTAAGTTTGGATGTAACTAGGGATTAGTAGGGTGAGGAAGGGAGGGGACAAATTGTAGCATGACTTATATGGTTTGTAAAGTACTTTTGTGCATATCAGCAAAATTTGAGTCTTTACTTAACAGAATTTTCTTATGGTTTAATGGTTTATGATCTCATTGGTTTTGAGAAGTGGAATAGACTGACCAAGCAAGCACTGAAAAGATTTTAGCAGTAGCATTTGCTCTTGGAATAAGCCAAATAAAGATGTGCTTGGTGATTAGGGATTGGACCGAAGATCTGACTCTGGAGTTAACAAGGAAGAAATTGTCTTAAAACAATCTGCCACCACCCAAGTGAATGGGGAAGTTTGAATTGGATGTTGGAAGCAAAGGAGAGATGAGAATATTAATCAGGTTCTCCATTTGAGTTAGCAGCTTCCATCATTAACAAGAAAGAACTTAGCCAGCAGGATCCCAGGTGACACTGCCTACAGAAAAAGCAGAGTATATGCTGTGAGAAGTCATGGGGCATTATAGCCAGTGTCGCTGTTCACTCGGAGCTGAGTGTAGGCAAATATGATATCACTGAGCATTTAGTCCAACTCACTTGTTTTCTGGGCTCTTAATGTCCACTGACTTTAGCTGTTGGACAGAGGGTGATCCTGGTAGGAAGTACAAAGAAAACGATGTGGATAGAAGGTTTGCCGGTATGATGGATTGCTTATAGAAAAAGGTGCTTGTTTTTGTTTTTAATTCCTTTGGACTCTTAGGATGGGCTTTGGTGAACTTATTCTTTAACGGTTCAGATAGTAAATATTTTAGGCTCATGGTCCAGGTAGTCTTTTGGGTACCTACTCAACTCTGCCATTGCCACTTAGAACTAAATGAGCATTACTTTGTTCCAATAAAACTTTATTTATACTAGCAGACATCCAAAAACTTTATTTATGATAGCAAATATCCAGCCCGAAGACTGTACTTTTCCAAAGCCTACTGTGGGTTCTCAGTTGTGAAGGAGGCTAAATCGCTAACTTTAGAATGTATTCTGAGATGCTGTAGAGTCAGGAGACTAAACTGATGCCTAAAAGTGGAGGTACTAGATTCACAGCCACGGGGTGTTCCATTTTGCCATGTGTACCAAACATAGGTATAAATGAGTATTTGTGTACCAAGAACGTGAGTGTTGAGATGAAGCAACACTCAACATGCATTAGGAATGAGTCTGTAAATGTAAGACTGGTCTGGGTTCATTACATTAGAAGGCCTGTTTGTTTGTAAAGACACACAAGAGTGTTGACACTGATTTTGTTTTGACAGTTCATGCAAAGGGGACTGGACTCGGAAACCAAGAAACAACTAGAGGAAGAAGAAAAGAAGATCATCAGTGAGGAGCACTGGTACTTGGATTTGCCAGAGCTTAAAGAGAAAGAGTAGGTTTATTAGAATTTATATTGATGATGTTTGGGACAGTCAGAAGAAAATCCCTGTAGATTTGACAGGGATTATTTTATGTCCAGTGACGTAAACTATAAAGTTATTTTATGTTCAGTTTCGTGGGTTAGCCTTGCAAATAATTTCCTAAAAACTTAAACCTATAAAAGTTCTACCTGGATTTATATATTTTTACTGGCTTCCTGGCTATCATTTATAAAACACTGTCTTTTTTTTTTTTTCATTGAATAAAGGAATCTAGTGCATACATCTCTGATAATAACAGGGGAAATTTTATTGGAAGTTATAGTATGCTCTGTATCACAGTAAGTTCCAAAATTAGGTGTGTACTTCAGGCCATCCAGTTTTATTTCAGTAACAGAGTTAATTTATTAGACTTAGGCTCTTTCAGGTCAGGAGCTTTGTCTTTCTTTTTTTTAATTGTTACTACTTTAAAGACCATTCATCTAGCACACATTCACTGAATCTAGAGTGTGTTCCAGGTACTTGGCTCAGCACCTTACATCATAGCAAACATAAGAGCTGCCCATTTCCATTCTGTCCGTCTTGCAGCTTAACAGTAGTTTGCCCAGAGCCACCCAGTAGTCCAGTGCTAGAACTGCAAAAGCACACAAAGATAGTGACCCTCAACTTCCAAGCTTGACTGGTGCCTAAGAAGTGATTTTGATTGAAGGAGTGATGGATTCATCTCATTTACTGATCTAGATCCTTCTGGAAGCCCCTTATCATTGTTCCCTAATAATTCTCTTGCCTTGGCAAGCTCTGCATGTGTGATTTTACTTAACCCAACTGAAGATGCTGTGTACATTTTCAAATACATATGTGCTCCTTTCTTCCCCTGATAGTTTTTTTGATTTACCATGTTATATTCCTTCTTCATTTTCTGATCTTTTCTGGGCCTTTTTGGGAGTTTAGATGCCTTTCTGTAAAGACAGAACATCTGCCCCACCAGGAGAAAGAGACATTTTTTTCTCCATTTGCCTCTCAGAGGGAGCAAGGTATTGGTGAGAAGGGAACAAGTGCTGCAGGAGATAGTGTTGATGGGGGAGAGGATCAGTCCTCATGAGGATCCATAATCTGGATTTGTGCTTTGCCTTATGAACTTACTCAGGTCTTCCAGATGTTTACTGAAGGGTGGGACAGGGCTTTTTTTGTTTTGGGGTTTTTTGGTTTTTTTTTTGGCGGGGGATGGGGGACACTTAATCAGAGGTTGAACTCAGGCAATTGACCACTGAGCCACATCCCCAGCCTTATTTTTGTATTTTATTTAGAGACAGGGTCTCACTGAGTTGCTGAGCACCTCACTTTTGCTGAGGCTGGCTTTGAACTCGTGATCCTCATGCCTCAGCCTCCCGAGCTGCTGGGATTGTAGGCGTGCACCACTGTACTCAGATAGGGTGAGACAGTTTTGATCTTGTTTTCAATATTCTTTTTTTGTTTTCCCCCTCTACACAGAAAATGACATTTAGATTACTTTCCTTAGAAGGTAATGAATAACTTTTTGCCCTCACTCAGGAAAAGATGGCACTGTCTAGTTGTACACTGGCAGATTGGGTGATTCAAGGAGCATAAACTGGTACTCTTCCAGTTTCCATTCATAATTCAGGTTCCCTAATTGCTTCTTCGTGTACTCATTTTTTCATGTAAATTCTTGAGGATATTTATAATCACTGTTCTAAGGTTCTTTTCTACTAATTCCATCATCTTTCTTTTGATTTTTGTTTGTTTTTTTGTGTGTGTGTGAGGGTTGCATTTTCCTGCTTCCTTACATGTCTACTCATTTTCCATGTGTGCGTTGCATTATGTGTGTTAACTTCACTAACTACATAGATTTTGTTGTCTCCCTTGATAGAGTGTTGAATTTTGTTCCATTAGGCAGTTAATTTACACTGATCAGCTTATTGTTTTTGTTAGAGTCGGTCGGATAGATTCTGCTTTAAGGTTTAATTAGCCCTACTCCTAAGGTAGGGCCTTTCTGCTCAATATCACAGGGAGTAGGCTTGACCTCTGCTCTCTGGCTAGACAGAAGTCAAACATGACACGTTTCTGTGCAAGCCCTAATATCTATTCAACATATAGTTGCAGGATGAGTTTTCTT